AGCACAGACCGAAATCATGCCTCACGGCACTCCTGAAAAAATAAATCGCTATACAAATGTATCAGACGCTGCAATGATTTCAACTGCCAGTGTGAAGGTGGCGTGAATCATTCATGCCGCCTTCACACTGGCAGTTGAAATCACCTCCGTAATACGCAATACGCCCCCAACGGACGTCGTACTACACAATGAAAAACGCTGGAAGCGGGTAGAACAAAAAGGGTGGAGAGATTAGAAAGATTGATTCTGTCAGTTCTGTATGATTTCTCTGATGAGGGTTATAAAGATATTAATAGGAAGGCTGCTGCGTGAGGAAAGTTGCTCAGAACGTTGACATGTCAGAGCGGCAAAAAAATGTGATATGGTATAATGTCAATAGTTCAATATCTGCCTACAATTTAATTGTATTAACTGCCCTAAAAACAGTAGAAAGTCATGAAAAAAAAAATGACATGACAACTTATCGTTATAAAATCATAATTTATTTTATTAAAAGTTAAGAATTCAGGTTTGTTTATCAGTACCATAGCAACGCTCAACTTCCGCTGGAATTGTCGGATAGGAACCGCCCGTAGCTTTTCGCAAGAGTTACATTTTTTGAACGCATCCGGATGACCAACGGACCCGATTTTCTCCGCACCGTACTTGGTAGGACCCGTTTCGGACCCATTCGCATGCGGTCTGCGAATCTTCATAGGAAATGAATGACTTCCGGTCGTTTCAGGAGCCGTATCGGAGCTGAGTTTAACTGCCAGTGTGAAGGCGGCGTTAGTCTTTATTTGCAAACTTGGACACCATACGCGGCTAATGACTGACCACAAAAAGGTAACTTAGCCTACTTGCATTTTTCATTCGTTAATGTCTTGCTATTTTTTTGTTTGTTTTACATTTAAAACTAAAAGTTTGTTGTAACGCAAGCCTTACTGAACTTGTAACGAGTAAAATATTACTGAAAATTGATTAGTAATGCCTTGAACTACTGTGTTACAGCAAAAAGTAATATGTTACTGTAAAGCATTACTTTTGTAACGCGTTACTCCCAACACTGATGGTTGCTGGTGTCTCTATTTTCACGTTCCGTGTGATCGAATCACGAATTACCAGGGCATAATCAACAGAATTCTCAGTGGGTGTTTCACTGAGTGGGGAAAATCGATTTGTTATAGTAATCGGAACGGAAGAGTGTTTTTTTTTATCCGTGATTAGAGCGGCGATCCCTAACCGTCACCCATCTGCCCTGCTGCACGGACTCTACTTCAGCCGGAACCGAATCATGTAAAGAGTTGACTATGCTAGGCGCATCCAAAATAGTATCTAAATCTCTTGTACTATCCTTGCTACCACTCGTTACAACTGAGGTATGCAGCAAAGCATTTTTGAAGCCACAACACGCACAACCTTGAGGCGGATGGGCTACAACAGCAGAAGACCCCATCGGGTACCACTCTTCTCCATTACAAATAGGAAAAAGAGGCTACAATTTGCAAGAGCTCAACAAAATTGGACAGTTGAAGTGCCTGGTCTGATGAGTCTCGATTTCTGTTGAGACATTCAGATGGTACAGTCAGAATTTGGCGTAAACAGAATTACCTCTTTTCCATAAACAAGATCCAGGTGTTGGTTCAGAGCTAGAGCTAGTGCCGTTTCGGAGTTGGTTCGACTGACGAGCCTTCAAAGAACCGATTTGCCTTTCCACAGGCTAGAGAGCCATCACAGAGCCAGATCTTACGTCACTGTATACATCTCATGTTGCCTAGCAACGCTAGCGCGGCACACACAAACACACCAGGCTTGTTCCAGATGGTTCGGCACTGCGAATCTCGAACTGCGAGAGCGATCCAAAAGGCTTTGCAAACCTACACCGGTATGCAAACACGGCAAATCCAGCGTGTTCGTGCAGCTCGCCGCAACATGCATTAACAGAGATTACAATCGAGCTGCTATTAGCATGATTAGCTGCTATTTAAAAAAATGGCGGTCTCAAGTTTCTGTTCGTCTTGTTGGTCACGGTAACCCCGCCCCCAGCCGCTGACGTAAGCGGTTCTTACTTCTAGACCCGCAATGATTTGGTGCTACCTAAGAACCACTTTTACTGGTCCGGAACTGGTGCTTTGGTGGTCAAAAAACAAAGAACCGATTTGAAACTAGGCTCTGGCTCCGAACCAGCTCCAGCTCTGCCTTGGTGGAAAAGGGGTAATAGAGAACATGGATCCATCATGCCTTGTTACCACTGTGCAGGCTGCTGGTGGTGGTGTAATGGTGTGGGGGATGTTTTCTTGGCACACATTAGGCCCCTTAGTGCCAATTGGGCATTGTTTAAATAACACGGCCTACCTGAGCATTTTTTCTGACCATGTCCATCCCTTTTTATGGCCACCATCCTCTGATGGCTACTTCCAGCAGGATAATGCACCATGTCACAAAGCTCTAATCATTTCAAATTGGTTTCTTGAACATGACAATGAGTTCACTGTACTAAAATGGCCCCACAGTCACCAGATCTCAACCCAATAGAGCATCTTTGGGATGTGGTGGAACGGGAGCTTCGTGCCCTGGATGTGCATCCCACAAATCTCCATCAACTGCAAGATGCTATCCTATCAATATGGGCCAACATTTCTAAAGAATGCTTTCAGCACCTTGTTGAATCAATGCCACGCAGAATTAAGGCAGTTCTGAAGGCGAAAGGGCGTCAAAAACAGTATTAGTATGGTGTTCCTAATAATCCTTTAGGTGAGTGTATATATATTTTCACCAGGGTAGGTAAAGAATTGGGGTTTTTTTAGTGAAGGGGACTAAATATAAAGTGGGTCCCTATATTTTAGAAATAGCAAAATATGTGCGTTTGGTGTTTATTTTTATTTTAAAGGGTCATGAAACCCCCCTCTTTCAGCTCAAGTCTAGCTCACAATCTTTTTGAAAAATGCAACTTAAATGGGCTTGGATAGCTGTGAGAGGGAGTGGGTGTGGTATGGCCATCACTGTCATCGCCAATGTCCCATGCATATCGACTGTCACTAAAAAGCAGTGTTAAAACGTAAGGAAATGCTAGATTATTTTATATAGCTGGCAAAGTTAAAGTCTTATGAAATACGCTGACACTTTATTATTGTCCTTTCAAAAGTAACTCGCAGTAAAAGTAAAGTAAAATGTTTGCGGCACACACTATAGTTTAGATCATAGACTGTTTAGATGTGTCCGTGGTTGATGGCAAACCAACTGTCCAGAGCCAGAGTCTAGCCCGGGCAGCATCCCGGGGAAACATATTCAACCCACTTGGACTTTTGCACCATGAAAACAAACACTTGCGTCCCATTATTGCCTCTCTCATCTATTACGCGATATCACAGTTTGACATGTCTGTCATTGGAAAGATCCACGTGGTGTCATGAATAATTAAGAGACGGTGTCTTCTCATAGGATATGAAAACTCAGTCTCATTAATAATTATGAGACACCTATGAGTCATCAACGCACTCACAGTGCACGGCCACGTGACGTGGACACGATGAAGATTTTAAACCCGGAAGACGAAAAAAGCGGGGAGAAAAAACTCATATTTAACCATTTTAACCCTACTAATAAATCTAACAGATGCTAACATTGTCTCCAATGGTGTTCAACACACATACCTCTGTTAAAATCTCAGAAAATTTAGTTTGGGGTTTTATGACCCTTTAAGGAAAAGAGAAAAGACATTTTAAAAAGAAACATCCAAAGAAAAAATGACACAATAATTAGAATAATTCACAAATAAAAAAAATTGTATTAAATGAAATGTTATCAGTTCAGTTTGTGTGTGTTGAAACCAGCCATGATTTTCCACTGGTTTATCCGTGCAGAAATCGGTCTACTGTTATCTGTGAATAAACGGCTTCCTCTGCAGTTTTTGAGTGCTGTGTGTATCAGTTTGTTTGTGAAGCGTTTTGTTTGCTTGTTTTTTTTTCTATGGATAACTAACATCAAGTGATTTTAAATCTTATATGTGACTAAAATATGTGACTGTATTTGGCAGGTGTTTCAGACATTTGATAAGAAATGAACTACGTCTACGAACAACCCGAAGACAGTTACAGGAGAGAGCAGAGCCAAACACTCGCAGAATCTCATTACAAGATCAAACTGTTGCTTTAAGATGTTTTTAACTTCTCTAGTCCGTGCAACTTTATGAGGCACTTGTGAAAATAACACTATCAGATCTTGTGGACGTGGAGCTCAATCTGGTGAAGCTCAGATGACGTGAAGTAATCAGTAAAACACATCAAAACTGTTAAAGATGATTTGATTGATTGTTGAGTTTCTTGTGAATTTACTATACAGCCGTCACAAGCTTCATATCAGCGCGTCTGTCATTTAATTACTTGTTTGTAGAGTTTGTCTTCATATTTCTGGACTGAAACTGTTGAAGATGTTTCACGCCGTTTTGTTCTGTTTGTGTTTCTGGCGTCTGGTTGGTGAGTTTCAATGTTTTTATGACTTCAGTTGTTTCAGTTCTGGTACCATGTAATGAATTACTGGTTCATTTAGTCAGAGAGGATCAACATTCACTGTTATTCTCATAAATAATTGAACTGTGATTTTACTATGAGATCAAGTTTGAATTCAGCTCTAAACTTATTTATTGATTAAATAAAATAAATTCAATATAAAGCTCAGATGCTCAACAGCATCAGTTTTAGTGTGACATTAAACATTAAAGTAAAAGTGTATTTTTTTGTTATTGTTCCACATCTATTTCTCTTTTCATTCATCATTTCATCTGCAGAATATTATTAATTTCACATTTAAATGAATAAAAGTATTTTAGTGAAGCTACATGAAACCAACATCAAGTGATTGTAAAGCTTTAATCTGTGTTCTTCAGGTGTGTTTGGTCATTCAGCATATGAAGAAAAACAGTATAAAAAAGAGCCAGAGCCAGCACCAGCGCCAGTGCCGGCAAAACCGTATGGAAAAAAGCCAGCACCAGCGCCAGTGTCGGTGCCAACGCCGGTGTCGGTGCCAGTGCCAGTGCCAGTGTTAGTGTTAGTGTCAGTGATGGAGGGAGATTCAGTCTCTCTAAACTCAAATCTTACTGAAATGAAGGATGATGATGTGATTCAGTGGAGGTTTGGAAACACTGTAATAGCTGACAGTGTAAAGGCCGACAGAAACACTGTATGTGATGATGTTCTTGATGGGAGATTCAGAGACAGACTGAAGCTGGACAATCAAACTGGATCTCTGACCGTCACAAACACCACAACTGAACATGATGGAGATTATCAACTACTGATCAACAGTGAGATCAAGAGATTCAGTCTCTTTGTCATTGGTGAGTTAAATTTCAGTTTTTTATATTTTAATCAACACAAAGAGACAATTAATAATTCAAACTCCATTTTGCTTGTGGTGTTTAATGATGATATTCATTTACATTTTAAATTTCAAACTCTTTTTTGAATCAATCAAGTGACCGTCTTAATCTGTGGCCAACCCTATTTCTCTGAAATAAAAAAAACTTTAATAGCTGACATCAATAAAGGGGCCAACAGCATCACTGTATATGATGTTCTTGATGGGAGATTCAGAGACAGACTGAAGCTGGACACACAGACTGGATCTCTGACCATCACACACACCACAACTGAACAGACTGGACGTTTTCACCAACAGATCAACAGTGTGATCAAGAGTTTCTGTCTCGCTGTCATTGGTGAGTTCAAAAACGTTTACACCTGTTTTTTAAAGACAAAATTAAAATTAATTAATATACCATTTTGTTTTTGTTATTTTATATCTTTATTTTTATTTTTATTTAGTACATCCTTATAATGTTATTTAACAGTATTCATCTTTCCAAACCCTGTTTCTGCTTGTTCTCTGTGTGTTTGACAGTTGACGTGGAGTCAGTGTCAGTGACGGAGGGAGATTCAGTCTCTCTAAACTCTAATCTCACTGAAATGAAGGGTTATGATGTGATTCAGTGGAGGTTTGGAGATGAAAACACTGTAATAGCTGACATCAATAACTGGTTTGACAGAATCACTGTATGTGATGATGTTCTTGATGGGAGATTCAGAGACAGACTGAAGCTGGACAATCAAACTGGATCTCTGACCATCACACACACCACAACTGAACATGATGGAGATTATCAACTACTGATGTATTCAGAAGGAAGATGTTTCACATCAAAAATATTTAGAGTTTCTGTCTATGGTGAGTCGAGATCATTTGTCCTGTCCATCAAATATTCTTATTTTATTAACTATTTACATATTGAATTGTTGAATTATTTTAGTTTGAGATGACAGACTGTTATAAAAACTCACTTACACATAACCAAATATAAGATTGTTGATTAGATTTCTGTTTATTCAGACATTATTTTGATTTTAGTGTTTATTGACTGATCTGATCTCAGTTTGATGTGTTTATTCCTCAGACCACTGGTGTGGTCCTACTGAAGCTGTGATCCGATTGGTCCTCTCTGCTCTGGTGGGCGTGGCTACTGTCATCATTCTGGTTTATGACATCAGATCCAGAAGAGCTGAACAAAATCAAGCACATATTCAAACATCAGGTACATGATTGATTATGACATTTCTCACAAACTGATTTAGCAAATATCTGTTAGATTTATTAATTTATTGGTTTATATGTTCATCTTTTTCAGGTATTGAAACCTAAAGCAGAAAACTGAACTTTGAAGGTTTTTCAAGTGTGTTTTTTGTTTCTCTAGTGTTTTTGTCATAAATAATATTGATGATTATTTCAGCTTCTGCTTTCTTTCAGTGTCAGATTTTTAAAATATATTTTGTGTAACGCTTTATTGTTTATATTTCTCTGTGATACAAAAAAAAATGAATAAAGAGACACACAGATCTCACTTTACTATAACTGCTGTATGTTTCTTATATGTATTTGCTTGCCTTTATCAATAAAGTTATATATCATTGTTTTATTCCAAGGAATGCAAACTTTTTGTATATTTTAAATATTTCAGCAGTGTACCATATACAAAGCTGTATACTTTTTTCACAGGTGCTGCCTCTTATATATATATATATATATAAACTTTTTAATATTAGATAGCAATAGCTTGCCTATTGGCTGTCCTGCGGCAACTGCAGCAGCCTATCGAGAGAGGCCCTTTGGTGACAGTCCAATGGGGGAGCTTCGGGCCCACTGCGTCACACTCCCGCCGAGGCGGGCGTGGCCTAGCCCTATAAATATAGCTCGATGGGCTGATATCACTGATTTTTCATCACCGAAGCGAACCAGAGCGTGTAGCAGGCACGGCAAGATACGCAGTAGTCGTTCCCTCTCTTGAGAGAACCGAGGTTACGTTAGTAACTGAGTACGTTCTCTTAAGAGAGGTTCTCTCGTACTGTGTAAATCTTACGCTAGGGGAACACCATGCAAAACGTCGTGCGTGCAGGGATCCAGCACCAAAGACCCAAGGGGCAAATGCCCGGGGCTCATATAGTGCATAATCACCATGAACTCACAGAGAGTCTGAGGCTAGCAGCATCATTCTCGATAATTTAGCAACCAAAAGGGCTAATCATTGTAACGGTGTCACACACAGTCAGGGTGAAGAGAGAGCTTCGGCCTGCACTGAGTAACAGTATGGCATTATTTCCCTTGGGAAAAACTTATCGGTCAGCGAGCGGTGCTCAAGCGAGTGCAGTACTCTGCGCCGAAGCAACGGGGCAGGTGGTACTTGACTTTAAACCGACAGTAGTTTAGCCTGTAAGGCGGGAACTTCTAGGTTATAAAACCTTATAAATGTAGACGGGGAGGCCCAGCCTGCCGCCATAGAGATATCTTGTAAAGTAATCCCGCTAGACCATGCCCACGATGAGGCCATGCCTCTGGAGGAGTGCGCTCTAACACCTAAAGGGCACTTTAGTCCCTTTGTAGTGTATGCCAGTGCTATGGCATCAACTATCCATCTGGATAGGGTCTGTTTCGAAGCGGCTAGGCCCTTAGCGCGACTGCTGAACTAAACAAAAAGCTGCTCAGTCTGTCTGAAAACAGATGAGCGAGACACATAGGCTCTTAATGCCCTGACTGGGCAAAGGAGGCTTATGTTTTCTTCCTCATTATGAACCGGTAGGGCAGACAGGGAAATGACCTGGGCCCTGAACGGTGTGTTGAGGGATTTAGGCACGTATCCGTGTCTTGGTTTGAGTATGACCCTTGAGTCATTAGGCCCAAATTCCAGACACGTCGCGCTTACTGAGAGCGCTTGTAGATCCCCTATGCGCTTTACTGACGCAAGAGCCATGAGAAACACTGTTTTGAAAGACAGGTGTTTCATATCCGACATCTGGATTGGCTCGAATGGGGCACCTTTCATGGCTTCTAGAACCGTGGAAAGGTCCCACATGGGGATAGAGGGGGGTCTGGGAGGATTCAACCTCTTAGCTCTTTTTAGAAAACGGATGACCAGATCGTTTTTCCCCAGTGACAGGCCAGACGCGGGTTTCGTAAACGCTGCTATGGCCGCCACGTAGACTTTGAGCGTGGATGGGGACCTGCCTTTATCCAGTAGCTCTTGAAGGAAGGAAAGCACTTCTGTTACCCCGCTGTTTGTGGGTGGAAAACCTCGGGCTTTGCACCAGTTATTCCAGGATTCTTCTTTGGCACTCAACGAAGGCGGTCGCATTATCTCTCCCTCATCTAACCTCCCCTGCTTTGCTTCTCTCGTCACGTCTAGTCTACTGTCTTGTACTTTGAGAGACTCTCTCAGCACTGCTCTCCAAACTAAGAAATTATGGATTTGATCAACTGGTCTCTCAACGCAATTTACACCATCTTCTCGTCGAGAAGCTTGGGTTCGGGGAACCTGACTGCCCTGCCGGAACGTTCGCAGCTGGCTACACGATGGACGCGTGGCATAAGTGGCGGGTCGTGTGTCTGGCGGCTCTTTCCGTGGAGGACGTTGAAGATATCTACCTATTCGGAACCATGATAACAGGTCTTCTGCTGATTGGATTAGGCATTGCCCTGGTTTATCGAGGAATTAAAAAGACGGTGGCAGCTGTCCAAAGTCTCACAAGGCTGCCCGTCATGATTGAAGCGGTGGGCAGAGCTGTCAGCACTGGGACTGTGTCTATGAACCAGAATATGGATAATATCATGGAGAAACTCACAGCTCTGCAAAGGGATATGGATCGTTTCGGAGACCAAAGACCATGAGAATTAGCTGTGTAAATTGAATGCGGCTTCTCGCCCCAAGACCATACAATCCCAATCTTATCTGTTTCGGCCGCCCTCAACCAGCACTGGCCTTGGCCAAGGCTGCTGTTGGAATAACAACTCCCCCGGAAGAGCACTGCAGTGAGCCGCTCTTGCATTCCTTCCCCGACTCCCCAGACACCTGGGGATTGTTGACTCTGTCTGGGACCTGATCAAGGTTATATCCATGGCAACTTGCTGTGTATCGCTATGTTAGTCCTGCGGACTGAGGCACCTAGATTTGTTGCCAGGCATAGCGACTCTCCAGGCCTACACATACACGAACTCTTAAACACATATACAGATAGTCGCAATCACCAGCCCCACACCCCATTCCTCGCCTTCGCCGCTTTGTACCCCCCAGTCTGACAGGCGGATCTGTGACCGGCGCCGAGAATGGCTGCAGGAACCGGATGGTTGCTTGCCTGTGCTGGGCTACCTCCACCCCCCACTCCCCAACCTTGTTGCAAGTTTTGTTCATGTTGTAGAATGTACTGATTGTGCCAATGTTGCTGAGGTGTTTTTTTTCCTGTTCCCAGACTGCACTCTTTACAGGAGCACAGTCTGGGGGTTGCTTTTTTTCTCCTCACCTCTCCTCATGTCATGCTGTATTGTCATATCGTATATATGTTTGTATGGACAGGTTGATGGTCAATTTCACTGGTACTTGTGACTATGTGACAATAAAGGGTTACTACAGTTAACAAACACTGACCACTTTGAGGCATAGAGACGTCTAGTAGACGGCGCTCTGGCCTGCGTGATTGTGTTCAGCACTCCCTCGGTGAGGTTTGCGGGTACCCGTTGATGGCCCATGCGTGCAGGGCCCACCGTTCCGGGTGAGGATGCCAAATTGAGCCCTTGGCCTGAGAGAGGAGGTCTTTCCTCGTCGGAATCGGCCATGGGGCAGTGCTCGTCAGCCGCATTAGGACTGGGAACCAGGCCTGGTTCGTCCAGAGCGGAGCCACAAGGAGCACTGAGCATCCGGTTTCCCTGATTTGTTCCAACACCTGAGGCAGGAGCGAAACTGGGGGAAAGGCATAGAGCGGGCAGCGGGGCCAGATGTGGGCCAACGCATCCTTGCTCTTGGAGAAAAACTTCAGGCAGTAAGCGTTCTCCTGGGACGCGAATAGGTCCACCTGAGCTCTGCCGAATGTCTCCCACAGCAGGAGGATCGTCTGCGGGTGCAGAGACCATTCTCCAGCTGGTATATTGTTTCTGGACAGTCTGTCTGGCCCCAAATTCCGGGAGCCAGGAACATTTGCTGCTCTCAGTGAGCGCAGATTGTGCTGAGCCCAGACCAGGATGCGTTCCGTCAGTCTGAAAAGGTTTTGAGACTGGATGCAGCACTGGCGATTTATGTAGGATACCACTGACATGTTGTCCGAGCGGACTAAGACGTGGTAACCTTTTATTCGGGGACAAAAACGCCAAAAACGTTTATATGAAGGAGCTTTTCTCGTTCTGACCATTGGCCGAAGAACGGTCTGCCCTCGTGCAGTGCTCCCCATCCCGAGGTGGAGGCGTCCGTAGACACCACCTGCACACTTGAGGAAGTTCCCAGGTTTACACCAGACTGATACCAGTCGGTCGCTCTCCAAGGTTTCAGAGCTGTGACACATTCCTGATTGACCTTGAGGCGACACAAACCGGAGACCCAAGCTCGAGGAGGTACTCGTGCTTTCAGCCATAACTGCAGCGGGCGCATGTGAAGCAGGCCCAGCTGGAGTACTGATGATGCTGAGGCCATCAGGCCCAGCATTTTCTGAAACCTCCTGAGCGGGACTATAGCGCCGCGGCGGCTCTGGCGACAGCCGCGCTGTCATAGACAGCGAGTTCAGCTCTGTGCCCAGGAAAAATATGTTCTGACTGGGGGACAGCAAGCTTTTCGCCCAATTGACTGTGAGACCCAGTTTCTCGAGATGTTCGAGTAACACGGTCCTGTGTTCTATGAGCTCTGAATGAGATCGAGCTAGAATCAGCCAATCGTTCAAGTAGTTCAAAACTCGCATGCCCCGAAGTTTCAGGGGTGCGAGCGCTGCGTCCATGCACATCGTGAATGTACAGGGTGCAAGAGACAGGCCGAACGGTAGGACTGTGTATTGATATGCCTGGCCCTTGAAGGCGAATCTCAAAAAACGCCTGTGACGTGACGCTATTTGTATCTGGAAATAAGCGTCCTTCAGATCTATTGACATAAACCAGTCCCCTTGGCAAATCTGCGCGAAGATTTTCCTGGTTGTGAGCATTCTGAATTGCCGTTTCATAAGCGCTTTGTTAAGTTGTCTTAGATCTAGAATGGATCTGAGACCCCCTTCTTTTTTCGGTACCAGAAAATATCTGCTGTACAGGCCCCCTTCGCTCAGAGCTTGAGATAAAGGCTCTATTGCCCCTTTGCTCAAAAAAGTGTAGCGAATAGCCTCTTTTTATAATGTTCAGCACCCACTCCGAAACCCCGGGAAGCTGTGCCCACGCGTCTGCGTGAATGGCTAGGGGTAGAATGGGTTTTGGGCTCTGGTCGTGACATAGTAGCGACGCGAGAGCTTTGGTGCTCTGTAACATGGGCACTGTGTTTACAGTGAGTGAGGCGGGGGGTGCGCCGGTAACGGCGGGCAGCTTGGCCGCGCTCGCTTTCATTATAGTAGTTTGCTGTGAGAGAGCAAGCGGGGGGAGCCCCATGGGGCTTAACATGTCTGTGAGTGAATGTG